GGGGGCTGGGCTAACCCTAGAAACTCTCATGAGTCGGTTATTATGAGCATGACCTTTAACGCTCAACCTGCTTTACTCAATAGATGAAGACGTATTGTGGGTGTTTTCGTCAATATCTGATTCAAGGGGCCTAATTCAAGGTCTAGTCCATTATGTCCCTCAGGTGGCGATGGACTCACTAAGAAAAGGTTCAAAGCCGAAAGCTACCTCTCCCGAATTCAGAATACGAAAGATTACCCAACCTATATCCTTTTATGATTTATTGATTTTGAGTTCTTAGTCAATATTGCCTTTGGGGGGGGGGGGGGGGGTTGGACTTTTGGTTCATGAAAAGGCAATTTTGCCTTTGTGAATAGTCCCACATCGGAAAATGAGAAGAAATCCAAGAGGTTTATATTGGTTCACATTTTATTGGGCCTTGAATAGTGTTTTGGGTTTTGTGGGCTTTGCATAACTCACACACGCGCGCGTATGCCTCGCCGCGATGCACACACACTTCTTTTTGCTTCACGGGTTTTTACTTTTTGACCGTTTCTTCCTATTGACCCGTTCGTAACAGATGCGGAAAGTAAGATGCAGGGAGTTACGCGGATGGGGCGTAACGGACGCGGGGAGTGCGCGGATTGGGCGTAACGGGCAACTCTTTGAGCCCTATATAAAGCCAACCTCTCGTCCTCAGAAATCACAGAAGAAAAAAAACGAACAGCATTCTCATTTCTTTCTCAAAGCTTCTCGCTCTCTAAATTTTGTTACCGTGTTAATCATTTTTCGGGCAACTATCTTCGTCTGAGCAGAAGCTCTGCTACTCTCGTCCGAGTACAGAAGCCGGTCGCTTTCCGGGTACTTTTACCGCTAGGAGGTGAGGATCGACTGCGCCAGAACGATAGACGGGTCCTCTATCTTCTAGGGCAGTGAAAACACGACTGCACCCGTTTAGGCCTGATTTTTCTAACCTTTAATTTCAGATTTATACTAATTCTTTTAATTTTTGACAACAATTTCTTCACGAACTGGTTTTATGTTGAGCAAAGTTTACATACGACACATACTGCAGCGGGTGCGAGTTCTCTCTGACTATGATCTTTTTTTGGTCGATACAGAACGACATTCAATGAGACCAACTTGTCTAAAATGACGATATTGAATGAGAAATCTAACAGGCTTGAAAAAGTCTATTTTTGTTAAGAGGCCAAAGTTCACAACACATTCCATGCTCATACAAAGTCCTGCAGCTGCAAAAGAATCCCTTAAATCCTAGGCACAAATATTTTTAAATGTTATCCTTGTGCTGCAAGCAGTAATACGTTCAGCATTCAAATAGTTAATCCGCTGAATTAACATGAAATGAAAATATAAACAGCAGCTGCCATTGCTTATCTAGCTACGCTTGGGTAACAAACACTGGTACGGGAACCTGTCAAAAGTTCAAAGATCTTGCTAGTATGAGAAGGAATCCAACTATCTTCGATAGTAATGCTAATTACAGATTCTCTCCTCATTCCAACATTTGCTAAGAATAACACAGGTAGCTTTATGCTTCGACATTGAGTGCTACAGATAGTCAAAAGATATGAAAAGCCTTGCTGGTTACTGGAAACAAAATTTTTTTCATTAAGAATCGCATCACAAAGTACATTATTTATAATCAATACACAACACCAGGAGATTTTGTGGGGGAAGACTAAGAATGCACAGGTTATCATGTACACAAACTAGATGGCGTTGCTGACGGTTTGGAAGAATTAGACAGCACAAAGTGTATTATCATGTAAAACCTGCAATAACAACATAACAAATCCTAGATTTAGCTGACATGTGCAGCTAAAAAACGAAGTAAAATTTCATGCATCATAAACACTGATCATGTTACAAAATAAAAGTCATCATACATCAGAATTCATCGACCTTTAATTTCCGTAATTAAGATTCAAGAGGAGCCATGTGTTGGTCCATTATGTTTCCTCTTTCTGAAACATATCTTAGCATTATACTGAGATGACATAGTAAATGAAGACAGTCGATGCAAGGAACAAAAAGCACGCCACGTTTACGAAATAAACCATGGGACATCACATTGGTCTCTCCTTCCACTTCTTACTGCCCCTTGAGCGAGGGGCAGTTTTCAGAGTACTTAAATGTGAATGTGTTAAGAATCCAACAAGATGGTATATCAGATAAATGTGTCAAGAATTTAATCGGAACAAATGAGTAATACTTTACATACACAGTAGGGAGACAAAGGTCTGAACCTACTCGTGGTGTCATGCAGGACGGGGCATGTGCACAAGTCTCAGAAGCCATGAAAGTTCCCTACTATGTAGAAGAAGAATTTCCCAATGAATATATCAGATAAATGGCCTAATTTGAGGATAAAATAAACGACAAGTTGCCCCAGTGGAACGATTCATGGCCTATTCCAAGGATGGGAGCGGGTATACGTCTTCATGGCCTTTAAATGCACCCTCATTTCTCTTTAATCCTCAAAGGGTTGTCATCTGTGAAAACTCTCAAGGTCTTCTCACCAAATGCCAGTCACATTAGATCAGGTTTCAGCATGTTGATATGATTGAACTGGAACCTGCAGTTATGGCTGATATTGGACAAATAATGACTAGGCAGCTGATACTTGATAATAAAGATTGGTACATGAGAAAACTTACATTTGAAGTACCGCAAGTGGATTTGATAATGTATGAATAGAAGGTTTTTGGCTGTATTCACCCATACTATTACTGTACCCAATCTAAAATTGCCACAACAGATAACTTTCAGATACTGATAAATTGCCACAACAGATAACTTTCAGATACTGATAGTTGAATACCAATCAGTGCGAACTAAAAGCACAACTAATATCAAGATGTAATCCTTGCTATGTACAGGTTTTGAATGCCACCCAACTGCTGATTACAGCATAGATGCATGTATTCTGTGAATGCTCCATCCTATGCATGCCTAATCTCGACAACTGAGACCGCCTGAGCATTCTCATGGAAAGCTAACCCATCTCAGAGAAAATTGACTTGATCAAAGATTACCTAATGCATGCATATAACGAAGGAATGTCATAATTGAAAAGTCAATAGCATAGTTTTCTCTGATGGCAGTGTTTGCAAGACTGTCTTTAGATTGTTCTATTTTTTTCACCTTTCTGAAAGTGAGGGGCAGAAATGAAGTTGGGTTCAGTTTCTGAACAAAATGCTAATCACAGTGCATTTATGTTTGGATGTTTCCCACCAATGACAAGAACCATCTGAACAACAATGTTTCATGTGTTCAGGAAAACCAATCTTGTGCCTAGCACAAAAAGGAAAAAATAAATTCTCTACGAGAAACATAATGTGAAACATATCTAATGAATTGAATGTGTATCAGGATTATGGATCCATCCAATATCAGTTAAATAGTCTTAAATTTTTTTTTATACTTATAATGGCTATATTACAGAAAACGACGCTGAATTTCCCTGTTCTCCCAATGACCTACCATTACAAAAAGCTACAAAAGCTTTGCCAGAAATTTTCAGTAAACTACCCTCCATTATCTTGTTTTTTTTTTACTAAACGTGTCATTTGACTTTCACATGATAATATCTGTTCCTCAATAGGTCACATTGATTTGTGGGGTGCCGTGCATGAAAGTTAGAAGGGACAGACAATTATCAGTTTAAGTTTATGATAGTTTAATGAAAAAATGGGGAAAGTAACGGAAATTCATGGTAGTTCAATGTTAGTTTAGACAATTCATGCCTTAGTAGTGACTAGATACTTTCAATATCTTTCGTGTTTTATTTGCATGATTATACAAAGGATAATTTTCTTTAAATGTCAATGTTTTAAAGAGCAGTATGGGCCACCATGTGGTCGGACATCAAAGAATGCACCTTACAGCACATGTACTACACAGGTTGCCTCTATCTGCTTATGTGCAAGCAAAAACAGAAGAATGGGATGAGATAGAAAAGCAGAAAAGGAAAATGAAGAGGAACAAAGAAGAAGAAGAGGGGAAAACAATGGAAAAACTCAGAGACCCTGCTGCTGGCTGCTACACATGGCAGATATTGATGTCTGGTGCCACCTGGAACAAAGAGAGGAGAGAAGAAAAGCGACCCTGCAGTTTTATGGGCCAACAGAACTCCTAAGCGCATCAATGTCAACAGCATTTTGTATCTCCTTTTCCTCTTTCCTCCTTTCTCCTTCTCCCTAGCATACAGCCTATAGAGCAACATGTCCCAACTTTTCATGCACCTAGGAACTGCAAGTGCCTATGCAGCCTCACATATCTTATTTTATAACCTTGTCAAGCATTCAGAATAAAGGCTTTATTATTATCATCTTTTTTCTCTTTCTTCTCTATTTTGGTGAATTTAGCACGTGCCAAGTGCATACGCAGCCTCATAAATCATATTTTATAACCTTGTCAAACATTTCAGATAAAGGCTTTATTTATTGTTTTTCTTGTTGTTGTCGAACTTACTATAAAACTTATTCCCGAAATCACAGTCTAATTTCTTTCTAAATTATTCCTTTCTGATTAGATAATCAAATCCAATTACCCATTTGCCCAACTCAATGCTCAAGTTGTGAAATCCTTGCTTCTGAAAATTTTCTTCCGCACCATGCTTTTGCTTCCTCATTGTTTTGATTCTGATATTGCAAACGGAGGCCTTAGAAATGTCTTCTTGAGTCACATCCTTCTTACTAAGATGATTGAGCTTTTGGGTTGTTAATTATTTTCTTTCAGCAAATGAAGGAGTTTAGATAATTAAGATTTGTTACTTAAAAATGAAAACTAATAGCTTTCAAGTTCACTTGATATTTTAAGGTAAGTGTTTGTCCCACCCGAGCTTCTTACAACATCCAATCTGCTAGTAACTTCCATATGAAGAATGGTACAGGAAGCTAAGTCTCCATCATCATAAAAACCAACAAACTGAATCGGGTATCACATATCCTAATAACTTTATCAACTAAAAAGAATTGCAATTAATAAATCTCAAATATTTAAACAGCCCTAATTTGCTAAAGAAAAAATTAACTAACGACCACAAGCTCAATCATCCTAGTAACCCTCATCTGGAAACAAGAGTGTTAATTAAACTTAAACAGTAAGCATTGATATTACTAAATCAAGACAAAATCGAATCTTTTCACGGTCGTTAGCCATTCTCCTTTACTGACTTGTCTCCTCACTGTTCGTTCACAACAAACATTTTACAAAAGAATAAAACCCCCAGGCTGCCATCCCATGCCTTTCTCTGCAACCTACTCCCCTTTACAATCTAGCATCATCATAACTCAAATATTAAGAAGAGACTAGCTTCTAATACAAGCTCTTCAGTCACATCCTCTGCCTCCCTTTATTACGCTGCTCCTGTCAACAGATCATCCATCCAATTCAACAATCCAAAAAGGGAACATCGGGCACATCAAGCTAAGATGACTCTTAAGGAGGTTGTTCTTGGAACTTCATTATTTAAGTGAAGCTTAAAACTTTGAACCAGGCCACAAACCGTCACTAGTTGTACATTCGAGTTTCTTTGATCAAAACAAAGCGGCCAAAACTCAAGACCCCAAAAAGCTCATTAGAATAAAAACTCACCTTTCATCATCTTAAGAACTTCTCCAAGTACAATCGTAGGAATTGATAATGAAATAACCTCGAGAGAGTAGTACAAACGGACAGCGGGATAGAGGAATGGGCTATGAAATCAGGTTGCAAAAAGGTTCAGCATGCAAGTGTTAGCCTGGTGTAAATAAAGTACACTGTCATTAACAGTTGCAGCCATCTGTATAGAACAATTAGATTATGCAATATGCTAATGATTTCCCTTTCACAGATTGTTGACCAGATTCATTGATTCTATATTCATTTCTGATATAGATGAGTCTGCCTAAATGCTCTCAGCATGCCCAACATAGTTTTGTTGCAGATTTTTTCTGCTAAATTTTATATCTTCATGATTTTCCCATCTCTTTTATTATTTATCTTCTCTCTTCATTAGAATACTTGTCTATAAGTGCCATAGCTTTGCTTATGCAATCAAAAACCAGTTCTAGCAATAAAATTTTATAGCCTTTTCCAGTGAGCAAGAACCCACCTGCTCAAAGGCTCAAAGGTCATTCCTCTACAAAAAATCATTTTGCGATGTTCTCAATGTCACCAATTTAACATGGTGGTCAACATGTACACTTCAAATTAGCAATGAGAAGGCCCCACTTATAACTACATGCACTATTACTAGGTATAAATCTTAAGTGATGTTACTTGTCATTTTACTAGAAACTGAACTCCAGTAGAGCATAAGACATACTAGTTTTCGTTTTCAAGAAGTTGCCCAAGCTGTCTGATCACACTATTTTCAAGAACTAATTTTTTTTGGGGAAAATCTTAGGACTTTCATGAGTCAGAATGCATGATGTACAATACTGTAGACTTCTTCTATTTCTGTTTGAAAATTAGTTCCACAATCTTTGTCAACTGTCTTCAGGATTCATAATGGATTGTTGTAGTTAAATCTAATACAACATATTTTAAAACTTTCTGTTACTATACATGCGTGTTTCCATTTTTTCCCCTTGTATTTGTTGATAGTATACCTTCCTCCCTCCTAACTTATGCATGTGAGAATGGAGTGGAAGTTCACATCCCTGAATAGCTCTATGTGAAGCCCTTTAGGAAAAGCCATTTTCCTAGGTATATACTGAGATAACTCCTTTAGAATTTGACAGATGTGAAGTATTTAAGGTTTTTCAGAAATAAGTTCATGTCCTTAGCTCCTTATCATATTTGCCTAAACTGTTCTTTATAAAATGGCAGATTCACCACCTTGATTGATCTAAAGATTTGTTTAACATGAAAGCACGATGGGAAAAACCTACCGTTGAGTATGTCCTACTAATACAAAGGGAAAAAAAAGTTAAGTGAACCGAGATGGACAAACTAGTGCAAAATCATTACGTCCCCAATATATTTCATGAGAAACACGGCTACCTTTTTGTGTTTCTAATACTGTCATATTGTATGGGAAATAAAAAATAAAAGACAGTTCCATAATAAGGAAATGGAATCAGATAGATAGATGTTGTTCCCCTTGAGAACAAGATAAGCAATTACATCAACAAAATAAATTTAAATGGTAAAAAATATATGTGACAAAGATAAACACAGGCACTCTTCTGGAATCAAACATGTAAAATAATGGTGATCATAGACGAAATAATGTGAATATAATAAAGTTATTAAGAGATCTCACCTTTAGGTTTAGTAGCATGGACCACTGATTCAGAAGTTCGTTGATTACTTGTGAGAGATATAGGTGTCAGAGGAGGCGAAGAAGTGTATTCATTCGTGCCAGTATCATGAGGAACCTCGAACAATTTGCTTGTGGTCAACATAGGCATCCTTTGACCGCTTGAGGGTATAGAGAAACTACGAGCCATGATCACAGGTGGTATCGGTAGTGGTGATGCTTTCTGTGATGCAACTGTTGGCGTTTTATTCGCAGTAGAAAATTCTTGACCCCTAGACACCAATGGGGCTGAATGGCCAACCAAATTGGATGGTCTTGTAAGGTTTTCAGAAGTAATTGGAGGTCTGGGAAGTTCATGAAGCTCGTTAATTCTTGGTGACAGAGCTGGAGGAGGTGATGCACTCAGGGAGACTCTTGGAGACACAGATTTCTGGGCAGAAATGCGGCCAGGAGGATATTCACCTGCAGAAAACATGGTTTTGTTTGACCAAGCTTTGCTAGTCAGGGGACCTGAGAAAGCTTGTCTTTTGATCTTTTTAGCATCAGAAGAATTATGAGAATCAAACTGTGATATGGACAACCCTTCTGCCAACGGAACTAGTAATTTAATAGGACCACTGTTAATATTGCTCTCTTTGAGTACTGACTGTGCTTTTGGTACCTTGGTGGAGCTTGGCTGTTCATTTTTTATATCTTTCACAAGCTTATTTGGCTCTGATGGGGAAGGAGATCTCTTTGCATCAGCTGGTGTAGGTAAAACATATGTGTTGGGCTTCCTTGTTAATGAAGATTGTATTAGATTTATCTTCTCAGATAATTCAAACTTATCAGTTAAAATTGGTGCTGATTGGCTACCAGCCCTCGGCCTCCTATCAAAAGAAACAAATTCCGTCCGACTTTTGCCTAAACTTTCCTGCAAAGAGACAATGTGATAACACAAGCATGAGTAAAAACAAAAAACAACAAGAAATGGTTGTGATACTTGACTCTTAGCATCACTGTCTATAAGAGTTAACTCTGAATAGCTTTAGCAATTAATAGAGTTGGTGACCATAATGAAACTTCTACAGTCAAAAGTAACTAACATTCTGCATCCTGATGATATAATAGTAATATATTTAACAGTTTAAGTAACAAAACTATGTTTCCTCCAACAGTAGATAATATTTGACAATAGTTTCAACCAAGGACAGATTCACAGTATTCCTTCCTAATCCTAACACTGCCATGTCCCTAAGTTACCTTCTCCAGGAAACTGCATATGATTTCTACTGCAGTTGAAGTAGGTTGTCTCCATCAGGTTCCCCCCAGGAAACTGCGTATGATTTCTATTGCAGTTCAAGTTAGTTGTCTCCATTAAGCTCTCTACATGAAACAGCATATGACTTCTTGCAGCTGCTATTAGTTGTCTCAATTAGGTTCTCTTAGGGTGATAACTATAAATTAATAACTCTATTTCTTCCTGACTGTTTCAAGTTCCCCTTTCTAATAGAATCTCAAAAAACATCATACTTACACCTGCAAATGTCAACAGAAAGCATCAGGCTATGTTGCACGGGTACAGGTGCGGGTGTAGGACACAAAATTTGTAAAAGATAAGCTGTCAGGGCAAACTTATATATTGAAAGTTTGAAACTAGTAATTTATATTAGTACACATCTGGATACAAATCTTTAAAACGTATACTATATAAATAGGTACAAGTCTGGGTACTCGTATGCATTCAGAGAGTGTCGGAGTCAGACACAGGTATGAAACATGTCAGAAATAGATACAAGAGCCAGATGAGGTGCTTAGCTTTCAGGATTTCCAATTGTACAGGTCAAACATCACATATATTGCTAGCGCCAAATAATCGAGTTGTTAGTATAGTTCAGATCCCTGACGGTAGTTGTAAGCATCTTAGACTTCAGAAGATTTCAGAACATAATTTATAATGGGTGATGTTTACTTAAATTGCCCAACTCCAAGAAATAGTTCAATATGATTAGATGTCCAAGCATAACAGAAATAAACTAATGATCATTACACAAAATGATCCTCTTTAGATTTGAAAGAAATTAAATGAACAATTAATTAAAACAAATACTACTCCTTCAGTGTTCTACCTAAATACTTTTTGCCACTCCCTTCTACCATTGAACTTGAACAGTTAACTGTTTCAAGTTTTAAGGCTCTTTCATGGCTGGTTGACAAGTTTCAGGTTTTCTTTTGACAATGAGGTAATATCAGCAATATCTAATAAATTGTTGTACCATTTAAATTCAAAATACTTTTTAATGTCATATTCTTTATTTTCCATATTTTAAGAAACTGCAAATTGAACAGTGATGTGTGTTGCCAGACGATAATTAATGCCTGTACTATAACCTTGCTCCGGATGTTATAGACTTACTTAACTGTAATTATATTTCCCCCGTTTAAGGTGTGCACAACCACTAGAACTGTTACAGCACATCTCTAGCAAACCTTCTAACAGTTTATAACCATGAGCTGTCACTCATTTGATGACACATGTTGTGTCTGCAAAATCCTAAGATCCATTTGTCATGACCATGCTAACATTCAATTCAAGGTTGAAATTATCTATAAGAGAGGCTTTTTACAAGCCTATTAATATCCACATTCTTGTGTGCTTGAAACAGGCCCATGTAATAAAGTTTGGTGCAAAGTATTGACAAATTTGGAATTGAAGTTAAATCTATCCGTTTAAGCTTTTGGATCTGAACACTAATCCATATCATATCTTCTTCCCTCAGAGGTCAAATTCATAAAAATATAGTGTGTAAAGGTCCAGATCTAAGCAAGAAGATAAGAATGCACTACTGTTTGTGCTGGATTATGGAGGATGTATCCACATGTGACGGAAGCTGGTTTGATGGTGGTCCATGTAATACTTGTAATGCGATGTGCTATCCCTGTAATTCCTATTTCATATTAGGTAATCATCATGTGAATTGTAGGCCGGTGTAATTCCTATGGACATATCATACATGATATGAGAGATTTGTTAAAATTAATGTGTTACTAAATTAGTGCCACATTGGAAAGTTCAGAGGGAGGTAAAAAACATATAAATGAAGTTGGATCAAGAACTATAAGCTGAAACTGTTGAATCACGAGAGGCTCACATTGTATAATGTCCACTAATTAACTTCCTGAGGGGCCAAACCTTAGTGACATGGATTAGGAGGAAAGAGAGAATTATAGTTGAATATATGATCACCTAATTCTTTAGTTAAACTATTGGATTTATCTTTGATAGAAAAATATTTACATGACACTAAATGTTGACAGATGATAGGGGAAGAGGGAGAGAGATTCGATTTCAAAATTTGTTGCTACATTCAGTAGATGAAGAAACTACATGTAGAAGATATTATGCAATTGACACCTAACATTGATTTCACAATTTAGTTTAAAGTAGATCAAAAGAATGTTTTTTTTTTTGTTTGGGGAGGAGGGGTAGGGGGGATCATGTTTCTAGTTTTGTGAAATATGGGTAAATTTACATATAATATACGAGGTTTGCCGCATGCAGAAACTATATGTACAACACTTTAACTTCTTAAGTTGCATCTAAGACGAATGTATGACGATTTCATTTTTATTGTTTGCTAATTTTTTTCTGATAGTGACCTTTTCCAATCGTACAATAACAGACTTAAAAGACAATTTCTCAAAATGAGTCAAAGCTGCATATTAGTGTAGTCATGGTACTCTACCATGTCTAAGATGAGGTTTCAAAAGATTTTTCAAGTAAATATGTAAAATATAAACCAAATACCTTACTCCTTTAATCTAACCACAAACTCAGTTTCCCCCTAAGTTACTAGGGTATATTACACTAAACACCCAAGAACTTTCAGCATTTTAGATTCAAACCCCAATAACTTTCAAAATCACACATAAACCCCAATAACTTTTGCAGAAATCCCCCAATATCTTTTGGGTAAATTACACTAAACTCCCAATAACTTTTGAAATGCATTTTTATGTTGTTTTTCAGTTCTAATTTATGGGGGTATCTGTAAATGCGGAAAACTTATTGGGAGTTTTCTGCAATTCCAAAAGTTATTGGGGGTTTAGTGCGATTTTGAAAGTTATCAGGGGTTTACTGCAAAACACTGAAAGTTCTTAGGGGTTTAGATTATACTAAAATTACTTCTTCCAAAGTTCAATTTATATAAACTTACATCTGACTGAGAATGTAAATGATTTTCTCTTTGGGTTTTCCGGTCTTATTCCTACCGAAAAGTCAACAGATTCTTCCAAATCGGAGAAATCCTTTCGTGGTCTTTTCCAAATTAGATTTATGAGAAGGCAGGTTCTCATAACTAAATGTGTCATCTTTATCATCACAAAGTATGAGGAGAGCTTCACCTGTGAAATTTCAGTAGTGGAGGGGGCATTGATGTTGTCTACTTGATCCAACTGCATGATAAGGGGACGACAACATCATATTATGCACCATTAAGTATGAGATCAATCAGATGGCCAATGCAATGTATCATTATCTAAATATCAAGTAAAATATTAGAAAGTAGACCATGATATAATAATCATCTAATTCAAACAATGGTACACATATGGGAAACCTAAGTCGGTAGTCATTACCAATCATCAGCATAATCTTTCTAGAAACAAGATCTTACCAATCATTTACTCTTTAAATGTTATGTTTACTTGATAAATATTATTACATTTACTCTTTAATGCTATGTTTGCTTGACAAACATCTAATACTATTATAAAAGTGCCCTCCAAAACTCATACATGCACCATAAAATACACACATGCATACATAAACCATACCCTTCAAATACTTCAAGTCAAACACATGCATACATACATAAACTATACATTTTCAAATTCTTCTCATAATCCCAATCTTATTAATTCAAATTAATTAATTAAAGGCACATGATGTTTAGTATAGTTATGTATTTATTTATTTACTATAGTTAGATATATCTATTATACTAAAATTTGGATACTATTAATATTACCTCCATAGAATTTCCGGATAATGAGACAACTTCTTGACCTTGGTCAATTTTTCCATAGTCGAAACTCAATTCCCCATCATAACTGTAACAATTCTCATCATCATCCTCCGCATAATCATCTTCAAGCCCACTGAACTGATAATCAATATGCTGTTGTTCAGCAACCACTTTAACGTGTGGTTCAACCAACTCAAGGGACTTAACCCCTTTCCGGAAGAAATTCAACTGATGCAAAACATGGAGAAAGTGAAAATCACATGAATCCCTGTTTCAATCAGCCAATCAGATATATTGCAAATCCATGGAACCAACCTGCGCAGCATGGTGCCGAGCAGCCTGTGTCAAAAGACTGTGAGATTGTCCTTGCTGTAATGATTTTAAGCGAAAGACAAATAAATTTGCTTGCTCCTTGAAGTCGTCTTTAGCTTCTTGCAAGTGTTGTGATGAAAAACTTTCACCTTTGGCGCTTCTTGACTTCCCTTTTTCTCTCTGTGCTGTTAACATGAATTTGTACAGATCTCTGATATAACACAACTCAAGTGAGAAGAAGGCACTTCTACTGTGGGTAAGAACTGAACAATCATACTGACTTCTTACCGTTTATCATCACACTGATGCTTCATCTCCTGCATTGGCAAATAAATATGATTAAATAAAAAATTCCTCTGCTTTACTTTTTCTTTAACAGGAAGGTTGTTATTTCAAGGAAAAAAGAAAATCAATGTAAATTCCAATGTACATTCTTTTAGAAACATAGAAGCTTCCTAGAAATATCTTAGAATCGGCTTTATCGTGATGTCAGAAATTATAAAAAATGAAATAAAACATCAGTAAGTGTCAGAGAATGCACTTAAAACTAAACTCCCACCAAATTTATCTACATCCTGAAAATTTTGCTGATGAAAGATGAACAGAACATTTGAGGACTGGAGGCCAGAGACAAAGAGAAGCTTGCCTGAGCAATGTTGCCAATGTCATTAGAAAGATTGATTTGGATATAATAATGCAGAAGACAAAACAACGTGCCCTGCTAGTAGGGCTGGCAAAGAATCAAACCAAAACAAATACTAAGGTGCTTGTATTTGTATTCATTTAAAATCTTTGGATTCAAATATCAATATTTGAACCTCTTTGAATTCGAATACGGATAGTTTTTTTGAATATTCGAGAATATTTATCAAATATTATGGTATATTTATTTGATTAATAATTCATAGTTTACGAATATTAAGTAATATAATTAAAAAGCTAGTTTTATTTGGTTAATAATGTTGGTTTAAAAACTAATATAAATCTCTTTAAGTTCGTCAAAATTAGCATAAAACTTGTATTACAAAATAGACATAGGTCAAAAACATAACATACTGCATCTAATAATACAAATTATAATAGTTAAAATCTTAAACTAATATTTGATAATCAAATAAATGAAATATACATTTGGTTAAGTTCTATTCGTTTATGAACAAAATACTAAAAAATATTTGCTTAATGTTCAATGAACTAGATAATCGAAAAGTTAGACAAACAATTAACGAACTATTTGTTAATTATTTGGTTCATTTCCCTCCCTACATGTTAGGAATTATTTTAGCAAAAGAATCTAGAAGACCTCAAGGTTGGGATGAGCGTGGTCAGGTTCGAACCGTGGGCTGAACAGACCCAGTCCAACCCACAATTTAACCAAGCCATGGGTTTGATTGGGCTTCACTCTAAACCGGGGACCGTAGTAGTAGGGCCGGCTTGGCTTATTATTTTTTATTTTAGCCAGGTCGAGCCTAATTTTTTTAAAAAACAAAAAAGCGTAGCTAAAATATTGCTATACTAAAAAAATTAGTCCAACCCATAAGCTACACTAGACCTAGGCCCGCAGGATGGCCTGAGCCCAGCTATAGCAAGTAGTAGGCAATCATTGGTCTGTTGGAAGCGAGTCGTTGCTGCAGCAGTGTAGTTGCCCACTGCTAGTTGAGCTAGGGCCTAATTTTGTGCTCTTGCTAAAAAGATAATCGTTTGTATTGACTCTCATTTTAGCAAACAGATGTCTAGTCTAGGCATCTACTTGCTAAAAGAGAGAGCCCAAACAACTCTTTTCTTTTTTTAACTTTCTGTCAAATCTATTCAAATTATTTTCTTCATTTCGTCTCAATCAGGTGTCAAATATGTCCATCGATGATGGGTTTCAAAATATGAGTTGAGTTAAAAGTTCTATTTTTACGAAGCATGTGAACATTCTCTCCGCTATAAATAAAAAAACATTCTCCCTCAAATCTTAACACGCTTTCTCATACTCTCATTCTGATTACAAAAAATACCCCATAGACTCTAGGTTTCCTTTTAAAAAAAAATAGTTCCGCTAAAATTTTGTAAAAAAATTTCCTATAATCAAATGGATGTCTACTCATCGTCCTCACATATAATCTCCATCCTCTCCATTCTCCCCATCCAACCAATGAAAGTGGTTATCCATATTTCTCACATTCTCAATATTAGTCTCATAAAGTTGGTGGCAATATTTTAAACAGCTCCCGCCTACCTAGGTTTTGGGAGCACTTAGGGGAGCAAAGACCTCTTACGCAGAGTGCACTGCATAGGTCTTGATCGGAGTTCCTTTATTGTTGCCCCCACGTCCTCTAACCTCATCTAAACTCCTTCGGTCTCTTCCACCAACTACAAACACCTCTTCTAACTCCTACGACCTTCAAAAAAACCTCCCCTACCACCACTTAAACCAAAAAGCAAAAAATCCTCTTAGGCCTAGCGCTTAGGCATTTGGTACTAGTTTGGCAGATTGTCGTGTCTAGCGCTTTCGATAACATTGATTATAATTAAAAAATAGAAAAAGCCTATGCCCCGCCTAGGCACCTAGGTTCTACGCGTTGAGCCCGACGTCTAGACTGCCTAACACATTCTGTAATCTTGGTCGGTAGTGATAGTAGTAATGGCCAAATCTATAACGCATCCTAGGGTTCCTATTACCCTTATGCGCCGCTGACTATATCAATGATCCCATCAGTATCATTTCCTTTACCTACCCAACATTAACCACAACTACCATCCCTCTAGACTTCACTTTTAGATATTCTATTTCACTTTCTCTGATAGAATGACAATGATCATGTGGGACACTACCATCCAGTCCTATCATGGCTAGACATTCTATCTCTTATTATCCTCCATCTTGACCTCCTCAACGTTCGACTTCTCATCTCCAGAAATTAAAATTTTAAAAATGCAAATAGAAGAAACAATTGAAACAAAAATAGAAGCAAAATTGAAACAATTGAAATTCTTTTTCAGTATATAAAACTATCATTGTTTGGGCTAGGCTACCTAGGTTTGTAGGATCTTTAAAAAATGGGTTTGTCGGATCTTTAAAAAATAGGATCAGGTTGGCTTAAAAAATTAAATTATAATAACTTGGGCTAAATCGGGCAAGGGCGGGCCACACCAAAAGTGTGTCAGGCAAACTACTCTGGACCTGATTTTAGACAAAATCCAACCCGGCCCATGAACCTTAAAATTGTGGACTGTGTTGGATAGCACCACATGCTCACATCCATTCTAAGAAAAACTCAAATAAAGCAGAAGTTCAGTCACTTCCGATTCCCAGTGAAAAAGATCAAATTTAAAAGAGCAAACCTCCACAGTTTGGAGTTCCTTGAGGAGAGACTCAGATGGAGTTGTAATAGTCTGGATGATATGCACCCGCTGAGAAATGAAAACGAATGATATTATTTCACTGCTATGTGAGAGTTTTTCAGGATCAAAACAACGAACATATGAGATTATGGTTTGTCTACTGTTGAGACTCACATAACTATCCACAAGTTTCTGAAGCTCAAACTGCACTTTCCCCAGCATCAACAAAACCCTGCCTGCATGCATAAATCAAACAGGAACCTCATAATTGAGGGCATTTCACAATTAAGTAATCAACTTAACTAATCAGCAAATGCTAACATATAAACATGTAACTAAAGAAACTGCAGTAGTTTCACCCAAAAACATTCCTACAAATATTATGACCCTCATGATATGTCAGCTCATCCAAAGCCGTGCTTGCATCAACTCATAACAATATACTTCTTTTTCTTCTTTTTTTCCTCTTGAGCTAGTTTATCTGAGATAAGAGACACACAAAAAAGGATATAATTACCACTTTCTTCATTATCATTTACTGCAGTTTTCTCAAGCAGACAAGTACCCATTTCCCTTAGGGCTTCTGAGAACTCTGCGAGAACACACAGGTATAAGCGCATTAGATAAGGAAAAGCATAACTGAACAATTGTCACATTTACTTCCCATAAGTTCAACTTATGGGGAAAAAGTAGGAACTTAAGATCAAGCTAATACAGCAAAACCCAATGAAAACACTGCTCCATATTACGGTGCTACTTTAAAACGACTAATAACTGGACAATATTTAAAAGTTCTCGAATGGTTCTGCGGGGGGTTGGGTGGTTCGGACAAAAAAAACTTCGTTGTTCTGAACTTTCTTCTTCACGAAATAATATAATGTCTAAGTAACTCCAATGAATCGACTATCATTTCGCATACAATAATGAGCCCCCCAACAAATGAACTACATCTATTTTGTACTATATACTGCCTGCAAAATTTGTTGCATGATTTGGAGTATCAGCCAGTATTAGCACATACGGACCATATGATCTTTGTCAAAAGATGAACCTGCTATTAGAGCTCTTGCTACTATATAATTTCAATTTTCGATCTATAGAAAATATACATTGATGAAGCAAATGAAAAATGAAAGATGAAACATGGTTATCAGATGCACTGCATATGATGGACACTCATCTCCTGACAAACTGATGTCCAAACATGGAGAAGAGAATTAGCATCCCAGAAAAAGGAAATTTCCAACATGCATAACACATAGGCACTTAATGTCACATCTCTGACTGACCAGAAATTGCCTGCATATTTGCAGGAAATGATTTGTTGCTTATATAAACAAGATTGTGACATGTGTGGATGCATACTCAGACTGCGGAAATATACTCAGACATTAACATATCTAGGAATCTTATAGACAGTATTGCCTATCGTTTTCATAATCAGTATTCACTTATTACAGAAATTCGTCTACGCAACAAAGTCCATGATACAAAGAAACTCTTTGTATACTGTAAACAAATCACTTAAAGGGATTTCAAAAAATATAATTTTCTTAAGAAAATTTATTACCGAGGAAATAGAGAGATACTTAGGAACCTAAAATCAATTGCTTCTTTACTTATTTTTGTTCCTGAGGAAAACAGAAATGATAGATTCTTTTAGATAAGTCATCATTTATGCTTTCCATCGTCATAATGGGCTTGAATGTGCATCTCAACTCCATGTTCAGAATCCAGTTTTAGATAAAAAGTTTAAAGCAAGTTCTAATGAAAAACAGGGAAAAGGTCAACAAAAGTTCCAAGTAGTATTCCTCAAAATGAAATATAGTACAATTTCAATTAAGCGTAAGCCACAGCCTTAAAGATGCATAACATGACTATTTGAATGGATTGCTATCTTTTGATGTCCTCACAAAGGTTTCTCAATTCAAAGAAAAGAAATTCCTGAAAACATTCAAATTATAAAATCAGGGCATACCATATGCACTATTTGCAGTGGCAGCTGCTGCAGAAAGCAGATTATCATAGCAGTTCCTCATGTTCAACATGTCCTGTGAAAATAAACAATCAAGTATTAAACTGAAAGCAGCATTCAAAGTTAACAGGCATACTATTTCACTTAAATTTCTAGTCTCCCAACATTAGGTAACTGATACTTTAATTGCAGCCAGTCCCATTACTAATTCTTGTCAGTCAAATTGTTTTGAAACCAGTCTAACATCTATCCAACATGATTTGGAATTCCACAAAACACAGTATTTTACACCTGGGTTACATCAATAAGCAGATATCAGATCAAATATTTGGAACTGAAGGCAGCTATAATAATATACACCATTATTCACTTTAAGGGATTGTTTTGTATGTGCAAATTTGCAACTACTGCAATTGGAATTTGCAAACAGAAATTAATTGTAATAGCAGTTAGTTACTTTGTTATAACTACAGTCTTTTTGCATCTGCAATTGCAAAAATTAAGAAATACGCACGTACCGGCATACGAACGGATGGACGTACGCACACACACACTCATGTACAGGCATACATACATTACTTATATATATACATATATTAATATATATACACGCGCGTGTGAGGACAAGTGTGTGTGTGTACATACAAATATTTACATACGTACATATTTATCCATACTAGTTAAAGAACCAACGAGGGGTATGAAAAAAATGTATAAAAGTGGACATCTTCCATGTTCCCTTTACAAATTAAGGGGCATATTAGTAATTTCATCAAGAAGCAATTATCAAGTTGTCTTTTCTGAAATTGTGGCTGGTGTGTTTTTAAGACATGGCACAACACCCAAAGAATTACCTCCATCTATATCATGTGGGCCCCTTTTGTCACGGAATATACCCGTGTATATTCCTTCATGGTCTCTCTATCGTATGGGTCCATGTTCACGGTTCAAATAAAGTTTTTTTCTTTGCAAACGTTTATCTCAAATTAATCTATTTTTACATAGGTGAACTTTGCATCTAGGTTACCCAGACACTTCATCTATGCTCCCATATCCATGTCCATGTCGGACAATCCTTGGAAACTTATTGAATATATACATGAATTTATATAGATGTGTACTCAATAATATAACACATGTTTTAGTTTAAAAAACTCATGATAGACTTCTTGAACATATAGTTTATACTACACCGCAAATTTATGCAACTCATTGGACTTGGAACAGATACATTTTAGCACATACCTGGCTCATAAGTATAATTTTAGAGGGTCATTTTGGATTCTAGCATTGTTTTAAATATCCTTAACATGGCCAGATATATTGCTCGATATATCCTTTTACAGTGCCTTCCGCAACCGATATAGAATTTAAATATCATTTACCGCTTTTTGGCTATTTTGGGTGATATGTCTCCGATATGGCCAATATATCAGTCAATATATCCTTTAAATAGCTTGTCGCAAAATAATATACTACATTTGGTAATTTTTGGGCGAGATATCATGATTTTTCTAGTATATCAAATGACATTTTGGTCTAAAAAAATTAGACGAAATGTTGCTACGTTGATTTGTACTTCCGTTTGTTTTGCAAGGTTGATTAGTTATCCTAAACATATATTATTTACATTTCATATGCTTAGATTTCATTAAGTATGTTGAGATTATATGTTAGTGCATTATACTATACATGCAAATATCTGTTATGACATTATGATATTTACCACATATCCTTGATATTTTCCCGATATCCGCAATCCGATATGAATTTTGATCATCCGATATTTTTCCAATATCCAATATTTGAAACATTGTTATCTAGTTCAAAAATGAGCGGATTTTTAATTTATAAACTACTCAATAAAAGAAACATAAAAATGGTATAAGGATGTTAGTTCTCATAATGAATGAAGAACAATATTGGTCTCATATCGATTATTAATTTTAATATGTATGTACATAGTTGTGTCCCCATATCCTGATTTTTATAATTTTGTCATGTCCCGTATTCGCATCCATGTCTGTGTTCGCACTGGCATTGGTATCCGTGCAACATAGCTTTCAATCTATCTTACCTGGGTTCTTCTAATAGGAAGCAATATTATACCCAACACGTACTCGACACGAACCTGTACCCGTATTGAAACCTCTTGGATGTTTATTGAATATATGCATATGCTTATTCAAGCGTATATTCAATTGTATAATACATGTTTTACTTTAAAACACTCCTTGTACGCTTTTAGGATGTTTATTCTACACAACATCTATTTCTCATATATTGATCTGATGTAAATGAAAAAATATTAATTTGATGTAAATTATTAGTTTTAAAACATATAAGTATATAAAATACATATATAACACTGTGTCCTCATACCCTACCTTTTACAAATTGTTGTGTACCATACCGGCACCAGTATTAATACCTATAACCCTACCCATGCAACTTAGCTTTGCATGTGATCTTAATCTCAAATAATCTACTTTAACAAGTAATTTCTACTAAAACTATACACATAATTTAAATGTGTGTCATTGGAAAACTTTCTTAAAATATTCAAGCCTTTCATAGAGTATTTAAACTATGTAATAATATATCCAAACTAGCTTTAAAAACTAGAAATATTTTAACTTTGGTACTCAGTCATTTACCAGTCTTTCACTTTGATACTCTAAAATAATTTTGATACTTTGATACCCTCATGTTTTTTTTAACACTTTCATACCCTAAAGTTTTTCCAACACTGATATATCCCAAAGTTCCAAATAAATTTCACTTTGATATACCCTCTCAGACTTTGTTAGTTTTTCTATTAAATTTGTATTACATTTAAGTTTATTTTACTCAGTTGTAAGTGATCCAAACGACCAAATGTCACATGCTAAGCCCATGACATGAATCTAACAGAAAATCTAATAGAATGTAGACAGTGTATCAAGGTGAAATGGAATCAAAACTTTAGGGTATCAAAATGTTTTTAAAAATTCATATAAATTTCTAACAATTACTTTATTTCTAAAAAATATGTATGAATTTCTAACAATTACTTTATTTGAATCAAACCTTGATAAATAGGCATTTCAACCAATCACCTAATAATATGGATCTTTTAGAGATTAATTGAATTAAATTTATAAGAATATTACATTATTACGCTATTTTGCAACAATGTTAATTTTGGCAAAATTTAACCTTGATGGCATCAAAGTTAATAACTAGTGAAATTTTAGGGTATTAAAATGCAATCAACACTTTATATATATGAACCAAGATAAATAATTGTAATGCTTATTGCACGTGCATTTGCACATGCAGTAGTGCTGGTACGTATTATGTTTATACACAAACATATATAGTTAGATATATTTACACCCACACAGTGTGTGTGTGTGCATGTACACATACACATGTGTGTGTGTATACATGCATATGTGTCCTTGCATACATATATGTTCCATTTAATAATTTACAATATACTTTGATTAATAGTAAATAATTTGGATTATATCATTTGCCAATCATGAAAGGACAAACTAATTACTTTTAGGTTAGGGTTCAATCAGGCATCAAACCTTCATATTTTAATGAACTGCTTTAACTCATTGCAGTCACTCGAATGATGGAGAAGACTGCATGTCTGACTAAATATCATCGCCAAATCCTATTCTCATTATGACATCATCTATGTAAAATAATTGTTTGTTGAGAAGGTTTTATTAATGACTTTCACAACCAAATATAATGTGAAATCTCTTAAGTTAGCACATATCACAGCTGCGGAAATTATAGCCAAGCACGGGGCCAGTTACAAAACCTAATTGGACAATTGGCGGGTACAAAAGCTCATGCTCATGCATCCTAGGAGCAAACTTCAAATTTGACTTTATTAGAAAGAATGAAAGGATGATTGATATTGAGGAATTTGCGCACGATAACAGAATTCAACTTTGTGAAAGGTTAAGGCAAGGAGCCAAAAAGAGGCCTTCCCGGACTTGGAGATATATTTGGCTTTATCCTCTAAACCTTTTCTCTTCCTAGACAGATACGAAAAAAAAACTTAAGAATGTATCTTACCACGCTGCTTTCATAAGGGAATCGTCTAGTAAGTTTATGCGGAGGAAGGAAACCTGAATGTGCAGACCCATTTAGATTTTTTAGCACTAATGGAGAGGAAAAAGATGTTTGACATTAGACGATGACATTCTGGGCTCCTGGTAGATATATTCAATCATAAGATGCCTTGGCCATCCAAATCACAGTGAGGCTTGGAATACCAGGAAAAATGTTCAATTGCAAACTTTAACAATCGATATTGTACCGATGTAATTCGTTCTACTTGCAATAGAGAAAATTTCTTATATTCAATACAAAATTATTGTTCTTTTTTTTTTTTTTGAGTAAAGGAACAGTTGGCATCTTGAAGTCAAGGCCAACAAGAAAAAAAACCGCATTTTCTTTTATTAGATTGCATGAAGAGGAAAAGATATGCTCAATAGGATTTCTTTAAACTCACTGGGCAGAAACCAGTTTGGTAAACATGAAAAGACTTGTAGTTGCTATAGGAGTTTGAATTAGTCTAACATAATTATCAATCATTCACTATAACGATTGTATTTAAGTCAATAAAAGTGTAAAAAAAAAGGGCACCAGATTTTTGTAATGAAATCAAAAGACCTTTCTATTCTAGTTTCTTGTTGATTTTTGTGCAGAAATCTTGTATAAAGAAGCTTAATAGCTGATAAGCTTTAAACTTTGCCTCTTGTTTCACATTAATATAGAGGGTTTTTTAATAGAAGACTTGACAAAATAAAGAAGGAAGTTCGTAATTTTTTAACCACAAGCAAGCCTGTCTCAACCAGAATTAAATGCAAAAGCACGTGAAAATAGTAAGTAGTTGTCCACAAAGAGTTTCAAGTCCAATACAAACTATTATTTCATTATGTTAGTACAAATGGATGTCCTCAAAGCTATAGTTCTTTAGCTCGTGAGTGAATTTATTCATTATTACGTAAATATGCAATTGATGGCTGTGACGTCATATCAAGAATAATAGTAACTACAACCGAAAGCATCTTATCAATTAATACCACAATTTTGATGCATAAGCCAAAAATTCATCAACTCATTCTAGTAAGTATTGGCAACAAAAAGCATTTTTGCCACAGTTAAATAATTGGAAAGAGATTCTATGCAATGACACATGGTAAAAGGAAAAAAAGGAAGCAAGTTTTCAAGAAAGCCTATATCCATGAGAATCCAACTTGAATTTTGACTAACATCAAGGAATTGTATTAGAAACTGTTTCATTTTAAGGTTAGGTTTTGCCACCTTAAGATTGTAAGTTATCAAGTGTACCAACTGCTGGAATAGTAATAATATGCCCTTGAACATCTAATATAAATTATGTAATATTCTTGTAATATTAATGGATTTAATTATTGCACATATAATTTGGATATCACTATAATTGTTATATATTCTTAGAAATTATTTTGTTAGATCATGCACTGTGCTGTGATGTGTCACTTGCTTTGAGATATGATCTAACTTAGAGATTTTTTAAATTTGTGCTTAACCTATAACTAGCAAATGATAACTTTGTTGGCCTTCTTGTTTTGATGATGTTTAACAAACAATTTACCACTAATGTTGTTTGTCTAGTATTTGTGTTTTCGTATTTATTGTAGACAAACAACGTAGTTGGAGGATGGATGGAATAGAGCTTCAACGATCATATCCAATGGAGGTTAGCGGAATCATACTCATAGGTTTCATTTTCTATTGTATTTGTGAAAATATTGTATTCTTAGTTTATAGACTTCAATATCAGTTTATACATGTTTTACTAAGTCTACAAAAACATTTCACAAAGTTTCAAAAGTTGGTTTATGTCAAAACATCAAAATTCAAGTATCTCATATTTTCATGTTTTGGACTATTTTGTAAAATGATGATATTTCTCATTTGGGAAGTCTTTTTAGAAAACCAGTTTTTGTAGCATGTGTATTATCATGTCTACAATCATTCCCCAAAGTTTTACATTTTTCTGAATTTATTTGATATTTTTAAACAGTGTTTTAAAACCAGCTTTGTTTTTCTGGGATGTCAGTTTTCGGTCGACCGGTACGGTCGACCGGTCTAGTGACCATTCGTCAGTATTTTTCCAGAGAGTCATCGGTCGACCGGTCCGGTCGACCGAGAGCTCAAATCGGTCGACCGACAGAATTTCCGGTCGACCGACGTTAGTCCAGAAAGTTTTCTTCGTGTTTTGGCTCTCATCGGTCGACCGACGGAATTTTCGGTCGACCGACAATAGATCCGTTGGGCACAACGGCTACTTTTCTGAGGAGCTTTCTGGGGGCTTTGTTGTCCTTTGGCTTGGGTTTCTTGGCTGAGTTGTGAGAGGGTATAAATACCCCATTGTCTTCAACTCTCAAGCTAACCAAGAGATTGTTTTAAAATAGTTTAACAAGGGTTTAAACTTGTTTAACGTTTGTTTAAGTTTGGTTTAAAAAGCTTTTAAGCAATTGAGGTTTTTAGTTTGTGAAGCAAATTTCACAAGAGCAAAGAGGAGATCATCCTTTGGTGTTTGGGCATTCAACTCATCTCTCTCTCACTCTTGATCTATAGAGAAGTTTTCCTTAAACTCAATTCTAGCTATTTATTGTTTTGATCTTAATTTCCATAAGCTAGATTTATATATTGAGTTTAATTGTTTTATTGATACTCTTTGTTCACACACAACCTATTGAGCTTATTGTATTTACATACATAGTATAATTTGGGGTTGTGGGTTTGTGACCAAGAGTTGTGCTTAATTGAGTTCTCACCTTGTTTAGAGAACAAATCATTTGATTTATATTGTGCTTATTGTGAGGATTCACTTGTAATACACTTGTACACCGAGAGAAGTGTGTGGTGAGAGACGGGGTCGAATCCAAGAGGAGTGGCGTCGGTTGACGTGCCTAGGGAGAGGTTGTAACCGAGCACTTGAGGAGGAGGACACGGGCTAGGACCAACACTTAGTGTGTAAGGTGTGATTGCATAGTGATTGTATTGTGAGGTGTAAACGTTGTTCAGGTGAACGTAGAAAACCCGGTTGAGATAGTGGAGATCTCCTCGAGGTGAGGAGCGGGGACGTAGGTCGTGGGGACCGAACCTCGTAAACATATCGTTTTGTTTGTGATTGCATTGGCGTACTTTTACATTCGTGCTTATTATTCATATTGCCTTTGTCAATTGCTCATTGTTGTTTTTCCCTCTATCTAGTTTATGATTAATTCACCCTTGTGTTAATTTTATATCCTTGCATATATATTGTCTATATCTCCTTGTTAGGATATATCTTATTATTCATATATCCTTGCATATATTTCTATCATATAGGATATATCACCTTGTGTACATTGCATATTCTTGCACATAACTCTTTGTATATCTATCTTGCAAGAATACATTTGTTGAGTAATTCTAATTGGCATTTTAATCGGATTAGATTAGCATAAGACCCTAATCACCCCCATCTAGGGTCTAACAAACTTTGTTATAACAGATTATTATGTATAACACAGACATGTGAGATGTCATGGTGGGTATCAACTATTTAGAATAGGGATTCCCTGAGTGTATGTCATAAGTACACATCGTGATGTGTGTAGCACTAGATCGCATTTGGATTCTCTAGGACAAGTCACCTAAGAGATAGATAATTTAAATTATTATATGGTCCCTTTGACTTAATGATATTGTCATCTCCGATATGATAATTTAGTATGTTTTGATATGATGGTTAAGCTTGTTTAGCAAGTGTTATACAATCTGAAATGTTAGGTTGCTAAATTTTATTTAGAGAAATAATGAATATCTAAATAAGATTTGATATGCTCATTGTGATGAGTTAACTTATTATGCATTCCCATGAAGTTATTAAATTCTTGTCGGCAGATGGTTTTGTTTCAAAATTTATTTTCTTATAAAATAAAATATTTTGATGTTTCAAAATAATTTTTATTTATGTTCATAGGAATTACAATTTAGGCATGAGCAAATAGGTGAATTGTTCTGTTCAAAAGAGTTGCCTAAAATAAATGATTCTGTAGGGGACTGAATGTAAGATATTATTTATAAATAATTAATCCCATATTATGGCAGAGCTTCTATGAACAGTTGGTCAGATAGAGATTTGATTATTAAATTAAAATTACTTATTTGATTAATAGTTGGTTCTCGATATGGGACCCAATTGTTCTCACTAATGTTATTAGAAGAGGCATACATACAATACAATTCTATTTCTATCCTTAATTGTTATGAAAAGAATATTCTATTTTTAATTGTTATGGAAAGAATATTCTATCTTTAATTGTTATGGAAAAGAGTTTTAAACAATTAAGAATTATTTAAAATTAAAATCTATAAGGCAAGTCTAATCCTATATATAAGGTTCACATGTAGCCTTATGAGAATAAGAGAATAACAGAAAAGAAATAGAAATTTGAGAACATATCTCTTAGTATTGCTCCTCTTTGGTGACAGATGGATTTCAACTGAAGGTTTTTTTCCTCTTGAGGAAGCTATTTTGGATTGATCCTAGCATAGAGTGCTGAAAAAATTCATAAAGCATTTCAGGTATTCTTCTAAACTTTGATTAATTTTGATTAATAGTCGCGATATGCATATTCTGCCTTGTTGTATATCATGTTTCCAACACCAACTTCCTTAGATTTATGCATAACAAACAAGATCTTTCAAAGAGAAATTATTCTAGACTCTTAACGTTTACTCTCAAAATTTTATCTCCGAAAATGAGGCAAAAAGGAGTTTTAATCCTAAATTAGCAATCCAACCTACAGATTGAAGCTAAAAAACTAGCCAGGAAGAATTTCTAGAAAAATTCAGATTCGAAGTAACTTACTCTTGCAAACTAATCAACAACTGGATCCTCGAAACCCTAGATTTAAAGGGAGAGAGATAGGGTACCTTTGACGCTTGGATGAGCTCGTCCTGGTCATTTGGGGCATGATCCTGTCTCTTCTCTTTGAGATCATTCTTGTGGAGAGCGAATCCCAATAGTGCAAAACCTAGAAAACCATTAAGGACTGAGCTCTTTTTTTCTTTTCTTTTTTTCTTTTTTTATAATTAATATTTTAGTTCTTTTTCCCCGGTCAAATAACAGGCTCATGATGCGAGACGGAGCAAGCAAGGAGAACGGCGAGGGGCGAGGAGAATTGGGCACGAATAGCAAATTGGAGAATTGTTTGGGTAGCTTACGGAAACGTATATTTTAAAAAAGGTTTTTTAGATATTACTCTCTTACGTCATAGCTATTTTGTTATTGGTCCCTCAGATCTTCATATTTTGTTTGAGTCCCTCAAATACCTTGAATATGTTGATATTGTCCCTCTTTTAATATCTCCATTCAAAATGGTGCACTGTGGTTAGGTTAGGGCTAACCCTAGGTGGCTAATTGCTGAAGTACCCAACCCATTGAATAGGGTTGTGTAACCCTCATTTCCTCACGCTCTCAATATTAATTCTCGGCATAGCATCATCCTTTGAAGAAGAAAGTAATCTTACCCCTAAATAATCCTACCCAAAATCAAAGCCAAATCTGGATGAAAACCTTATTGTGGAGTGGAAAGAAAGATCCACACAAGATTTACGTTAGTTGAAGTATGAAATAAGCCTTTGTGCAGGTAAAGATTGCTATTTGATCATTATTTATTTCTCTCTCTCTCTCTCTCTCTCTCTCTCTCTCTCTCTCTCATGCAGTCATATTCTTTGTGAGTTTTTTTTTGTGGTAGATCTAAGAGGTTAGGGGTTGTAGTTATTAGGGACTATCTTCCACCTCCAATTTTGTTCCATTGTGCAATTTAGCTCTAATTATGGCGAAATTTCCAGTTGATGTTGAATTACTGGTTTGTTATGATATTTGCTCTCATGCAGTCATATTCTTTGTGTGTTTTTTAATGTTGTGATAGATCTAAGATATTTGGGGGTTGCAGTTATTAGGGACTATCTTCCATCTCCAATTTTGTTTCATTGTGTAATTTTGCCCTAATTATGGCGAAAATTTTAGTTGATGTTGAATTACTTGATTGTTATGAAAATTTAGGTGAAATTACTTCTATGGATGTTATCCTGCTATTAATTCTTATTTTTTATGACTTTTATTTACTGTCATGTTGAGAATATTGAATCTACAAAGTATGTTCTTAGCCTTTCATGTTGAGAATATTGAATCTATAAAGTATGTTTTTAGCCTTTCATTGTGCTTCTTGTAACTGTTTTTCTAAGATTTGAAATAAAAAAGCATGTTTTCTCCTTGGGTTGTCTAGGAACACAGGGTTTCCAATTGCTTTCATATCCTAAATTTGAGATAATTAATAGGTTTCGGGACACTAAAGTATTAAAAAATTTATCAATTTTGAAACCTATACACCAAAATATTTTGTGTCAACAATTGGTGAGGCTGGTAGTAGATAATCAGTGTTCAAGTAGAAAATGGATAAAATCGCAGGAATATACCTTTTAACATTTTAACGAGTTCAGGGTAAGTTCATAATTAGAGGAAGAAGGGGGAATTGAGTTTTTTAACGGGTCAGATGCAGTAAGTGTGAGTTTATGTTTGGGATTTGTTAAGTGAGGGACATAACTATCCATTCATGCCCGGTGTTAAAGATAACATAATATTCTATGACATTTATGGCACCAATTAATGATAGGGACCAATATCCACATATTCATAGCATTTGAGGGACTAATCAAAATATGAAGATTTGAAGGTGTAATACAAAATAGCTATCATTTTAAGGGCCTAAGACCTAAAAACCCCTTTAAGAAAACTGTAAAAAGCAAAAGTTTGGTCTTTTGAGCTTTTTGCATGCTAGCCCCTGTTATTTCCAAATATAGTGTCTTTCAGCTCCTCTATTTCACATCACGCACCTACTTTGTTCAAAAAATTAGGACAGCTACCTCAGTCATCGCTGCACTATTGAATGATCATTACACCTTGGTGCAGTTTGTATTCCTGGATTTATATAATGTTAGCGTAGACTTCAATCATGCTGACCGTTGAAAAATATGCAGCCATTCTTTTAACTGATTTTTTAATAATATCGTCGAAGGAACTGTATATTCATTTTTTTTAAAAGCTCAGTCTGTAGTCTTTACGTGCAATTTCTTTCCATTGAATGATCTAAGACTTTGACGAGGGATAGCTAATTTAGTTACATTTTACTTGTACTTATTGGCCAAAGTAATTTTTCAATGAAAAGAATCTATTCATATTGTGATATTAATTAATTCATGGCAGAAAAAAGTGCAAGGCTCACTCCTGAAGGCTATCTGCATGGCTTTTGTTAGCTTGCAACTGTAGTTCTGATGTAGCCGTCACATGCAACCAATTGAATCATTTGTAGTTTTTGTTATTTATAACAATAGTTGCTCTTGTTTTTGTTTGATTTCAAAATTTTACAACTTGAAATTATAACTGCATTTAGGCCTGTCCATCCGGGCCGGGCCGGGCAAAACCGGAGCCCGGACCCGGGTACCCTGGGCCGGGTCCGGGCCCGACCGGGCCGGGTTCCGGGCCGGCCCGGGTTTTTTCATTTTTTTTAAATTTTTTTTTCAAATTTTTAAATTTTATTTAAGTTTTAAATTATAAAAAAGACAAAAAAATAATAAAAAAAATAATTTTATTAATCACTTAAAATGTCATAAATTACAAATAAAAAATTATAAAAATAAATTCTTTATTAATAATTAATAAATCATTTACAAATTACAAGTATAAATTTATTTTGGAATTCATCGCATCACAATAGATAAGTACATCCCACCTAGGTTTTTTTAAATTTCTTTTCTTTTTTTTTTGATAAAAAAATAATAAAAATTAGTTTAATATTATTATATTTTATATAATTATGTATTAGTATATACTTCTAAATTATTATGTAACTATATATTATATATACATATATTATATGTAAATATATTGTATATATTTATAAGTTATAATTTAAGAGAGAGAGAATCGCATAAGTAATCCTGTAGCCGTTGCTCGTTGGGCCAATGGGGAAGTAACCGTTGTAATATACTATACTTATATATACTTAGAGAGAGTATACACACACACATATATAAAAGAGTATACTTATATAATAGGGAGTATACATATATAAGAGAGAGTATACTTATATATACATATATACTAAGAGAGAGAGTATATTAGTATATATATATATACACAATACATATATAAGAGAGTGTATACTAATATATACTTATATAAGAGAGAGTATACATATATAAGAGAGAGTATACTTATATATACATATATACTAAGAGAGAGAGTATATACACACACACACATATAAAAGAGTATACTTATATAATAGGGAGTATACATATATAAGAGAGAGTATACTTATATATACATATATACTAAGAGAGAGAGAGTATACACACACACACACACACACATATTATACATATATAAGAGAGAGTATACTTATATATACATATATACTAAGAGAGAGAGAGTATATATATA